AAATTACAACAACAAGATTTTGATTAATTAGGTTCAATGTTGAGTATTCATTATTTTTGTATTAAGGGAAGATAGTTGTGCAATAAGTAAATTTTTAAAACCAATTGCCTTAAACAATTTGAAGATTTGAAAACTCACAATTGAAATTTTCAATGGTGAGCTAGATTATGAGCAAGTTTCTATGTTGGTTATGAGGAATTTGAGTGAGAAGGAATCGTGAAGGTAGGGATGGGTAGGGATTTGAAAGGAGTTATCAATAGAAGATTTAGTTTAATCTATAGTGGGAAAGTGACATGGAAATGAAGAAGGAGATTGGGGGGGATGCAATAAATGAGGAAGAAGAAGAAAAAGGAGATATGGATGCTAGTTAGGTTGTTGCTAGCTCTGATACAATGTTTAAATTTAAAAAAGAAGAAAGCTATACATTCAGATAGAGTAAATAAAATTATATATGTTATAAAAGTATTAGATTAATATGTAGTATATATAAACATAGTTAGTTACTAAGGGAGCGAAGCTTTACTTTCAAATAACATAAATGAAATTAAATTTATTCTAAAAGTATTACCTTCATATGTAGCATATGTAGGCATAGATGCAAAGGAATTTGTTGTGCAGGTGGAGAGTGACAGAATTGGTTGTGTGGTTGCGCAGATTTTTGAATAACATATTTGGGAACACTCACAGTCATAATTTGGATGCTATTAAAAATAGCTTTTGTAGTAGTTTTTAAAAAAACAAGTCAAAGGCTCTGATAAGCACTTAAGAAATAGTTCTTAACCTACGTATGCTTTGGAAAGATTATACACATTTGGTACTCGGAATTTGAAATGATTAATTAAAAACAATGAAATACATTTTCTTATTTTACTCATTGTAGGCAACATTCAAACTTAGCTTAGTTTTTTTTTTGTTAATTGTGATCTAAGTGATTAAAATTTTGTCAGATCTTTCTATTCACTTTTGGTTATAAACTTTTGCTAAAGCTCACAAATGTTTGTTTCATGAGTCAATTGTCTTTAGATTTTTACCATTGTTGGGACCTACAAGGATTTTGCAGATCCTGATGGGCCTTTATGAAGACCCATTTATTGTCATTATTAATATTATTGTTTACAAGAAATGGAAGACATAATTATATATTTTCAATTATATTTTCACCTCTTCGCTTGACTCAAATAACTTATATATATATATATATATATATATATATATATATATATAT